GTATCCGCCTGATTTCCTAGCATCATCAAATAATCCAATTGACGAAAATGCCCTGGCGTCATAACTCCCTTAATCAGACGAAAGTACAAAACGCAACCGTACTACGGGGTTAGCAAGGTGCTAACGGTGTAGGGGGTTAGTAACCCATCCGATCCCACTAGGTTAAAGGTTATCCGGTCAAACGGCGTCGTTGCTTACTACTTGGAATTAGGGCTGCAAATGAGTCGAGTCGAGTTTTACCCCAGCTTGAGTTAGGCTCGTTAATAAACGAGTCGAGCTCAGCTCGTTTGTTAACGAGCCGAGTCGAGTCAAGCTCGAGCTAGCTTGTTTATTAAAATCTTAACTTTCATTTGGTACTTCATTTTGTATATCATGATACATATGATTAATTTTGTTAGTTAATCTCATCTTATACTTTATACTTTGTTGGTATCATATATCGTTTAGTTAATAAATTTTAACTACTCCAAATCATGTTATTTCATTGTATCGAAGCAATCTATGATGCATAATTTCTTTTTAAAGTAGAAAATAAGATATATTTGCTTACATACTCAACGTCAAAAGTTTATATATGGTGAGATCTATAAATTAAAAACCATATGAATTAAAATCATAAGATATAGATTGATTCGTCCATAAGTTGGTAATCGAGTTGGCTCTCTAGCCACATGTTAAAACATATCATGAGCTCTAAACGAGCCAGCTCACGAGTTTAGCTCAACAAGCCACCGAGTCGAGCTAGCTTGCAAGCTTCACGAGCTAAACAAAGGTGAGCTCATGTTCGGCGAGTTTCTTCACGAGCTTTTCTCGAGTCGAACGCCGAGCTCGGCTCATTTGCAGCCCTACTTGGAATGGAAGAGTCAGAAAACAGTCATTTTTGGCCAGTTGAGCGGTCAGAGTATCCTAGGACGGTTGAAATAGAGTGATGATGGGCCACCCTGGCCTGTTTTGGCTCTCATCGTTGTAATTAATTTAAGTGGTAATTAATAAAGAACTAGATAATTGGCCCGCGCTTTGCGGCAGGTAACAATAAACATGTCATAAAACTCTATTTTGTGAATTAGGATAAATTAATTTTTTATTGCATTTTTCTAGATAATAAAGAACTAGATAATTGGCCCGCGCTTTGCGGCAGGTAACAATAAACATGTCATAAAACTCTATTTTGTGAATTAGGATAAATTAATTTTTTATTGCATTTTTCTACTGTCAAGTTCTTACTTTATATTTTGATTTTATAAATTTTATTAAGAAACAGATACCACTTTGTCTTTGTGAAAGATTTTGAGATTCTTATTAAACGATTTACCATCTACATACTTTGTTTGATGTATTTTAGGTAATTGAAATAAATAATTTTAAAGTAAAACTTATAAAAATACTCATAAAAAGTCAAAAATAAAATCACCAAAATATTCTCAATACTTCTTCTTATAATTTAAATATACCATTATTATAAATTTTTTAATTTAAACCATTTTGTCATCTCAAATGTGTGCTCTAGAGCAAGATGATTTTATCATAGCATTTATCAGCCAACTAGTGAAGTATATTGTAATAAGTGTTGAAAATGAAGTATATCTTAACTTTCGGTGTAATTAAAGTTCCTTAGTTTTTTAGTTCTTAAAAAAAGAATTCGATAATTATTTAAAATACCATGTTAAAATTTTAATTGATATGTATTTCACTTGTTAACTTCAGTGAGTGGGAGAGGTATGAGCCGATTTCTATGTGCCATCAAGCTACATATAATTGGGGTCTTGTTTATGCAATTGATTAACGGGGCAATCATAAGAAAAGAAAGTTTTATATGGTGGCTCATTTGCATTGATGAAGATAAATTAATAATAATTATTATTAGTTTCTATCAATTCAGGCAAAGAGCATGTAAAACTATGTTTATGTTTAGAGAATTCCTCAATGAGGAATTTTACAATGTTATATAGTATTGGTGCTATAAGGTTATGCCTTTATGGTACAACTTGAAATTGTACGTTTAACGTTATGGTACAACTTCAGATTGTACCTATACTTTTTGTACAAATTCTTTTATGGTACAAGTTGAACTTGTACCTTTATGTGATGGTACAACTTCAAGTTGTAAAGTTGTACCATAACATAATAGTACAAATTCTCTTATGATACAACATGAACTTATACATTTAACATTATGGTACAACTTTAAGTTGTACACTAAAGCACCAATACTTTATAGTATAGTAGAAATGCCCTTCCTCAATTTTATCGATCTTCAGTTACAAAAGTTGTATTTTCAAGGAAAGGCATCTTGCTGGATCTATGATCTATCTATCCAAAACAATTACATATATTTTTCTTATAATGAAAGGAAAGTATATATCTTGGAACGAAATAATCACACCCATTAGTTAAAACTCAGAAGAATTTCATTTGTAACTAATCAATGTAATTGTTTTATTCTTTGTTTGGTCGGCACACAGAGATATAGCTCATGCAATAACCCAAACAAAATAGTTTCAGTCTTCCTAATAATAATTTTATTCTTTGTTTACTCTTAAGATATAACTCATGCAATAACCCAAACAAAAAAAAAAATCCAATCTTCCTAATTACTTGACATTTGTTTAGCAGGGTAACTCCATATCTCTTAGCTATACACGTGTAATATTCACTCCATGCAACAAATGGTATCCAACCAATTGGACTTCCTTCCTCTTTCCTACTACAACCTCTAAGATCTAGTTTCCAAAATGTGACCCATTCTTACTCTTATAATCCCACAAATCCTAGAGGGAGAAGAAGATGATCGAGATGTTTGCAAGAGCAAGTTTCACCTTCTTGAGTCTGCATGCACGAATTTAAAGCAGCTAGCTGAAGGAACAGCAGCTGAGTTTCGAAATTGGAGGTAGGCTGGGTTTTGAAATTCAAAGAATGAGTTACTTGCATGAAGCCTGAAAAGTACTGGTGCTTAGAATTTCTGTGGTTACTCCGTCGTCATTCAACTTGGTCGGAGTAGGAGAAGCATGCAAGAGTTCATCATGGACGTGGTGGATTGGGGTTTCCAATGTCAACGGGTCGGCCAAGAGAGAATTGAAGAGGTGTCCATCTCCCATTGCTTCAATTTTTGTCGCCCAACCTCGATTTCCATGCATGGTTGTTCAATTTTTGGTCATAATTCTCTCTGACTTGCCTCGCCACCATCATGTAGGGGAAACGGGGAAATTTCTTTTGGGAATCGGTGAATTCCGATGAACTACCTTCTGGAATGTCAAGCGGTAGTAGTCTGCCGAGATGTGGCTATTGATTCGTTGGGGAGATGCTGGGAGAGAAGAGGTAGCCCAGCCAAGCGGTTTTACGGCGGCAGTGGCACTTGCCTAATCGCTAGCCGTTCGAGTCGAACGGTTCGACAAAGCGGACAGAGGAGGAGAAATGAGAAATTTACGGTAGATGGGAAAAAAGGTGTAGGTTTACTATAGTAAACCTCCTACTGGACCCCTTATACCAATTAGGCGCTATATATATTATAATAATTATCTTTTTATAAGGGTGGCATCATTTATTAGGTAATTAATTAAAAATGTCCAAGAAAAACATAGTAATAAACTGTTAGAGAGCCCAAGGTAAAGGTTGTACAAGAAAAAGAGAGTATTTAGACGAAGTTACTAATTAACGCCCAAAATTCAACAACATCGTCCTAAATAATTCATGCACAGTTTTGACCATTCATGTTGAAGGGACTAGTACTGAACCAGCAGCCATGTGTTGGAACTTGGAAGTAGCGAGGTAGAGCACTCTAGTGGGCACAGAAAGGAGTCATTGAATGATGGCATTTTGCCCCATAATTGTCCTTTACTCGAATGTCGGCTCCGTCGATCCCATTGCTTCACAAATCACAATAATGCATCACTAATGTAGATTGGAACGTTGTATGCTTGTCGCCTTCCTTCCTAGCTAGCCAGACGCATTTATTCTTGTCCGGCGGCAGTAACTGCATACATTAACGCCTTCTCCGGGCATTTTGGTTACAGTTTCAGAAAACACACAAGCAAGAACCCTGCAATCAATCCAAACACGGGATTCCCATTCCCACCGGAACTTTACAATCAGAAGAATTAAACGGTTATTCATGTGTCCGGCCGGTGATGGGTAGTTTGGTGGGGGCGCCGGGGTTGTTGATTTCATTACTTGTGACTTGCGGCGGCGGAAGGGACGGTCGGCAGGTAGCGTTAATGCATTCAACTGCATTCATTTCAGGACGCCAATTTCATGCGACTCTCGCCCCCTCTAGTCTCTGCGAACCGATTTGGTTTAGCTTTGGAATGGTTGTGGGTCTAAAGCGCTACGCGAACTTGTTCTTCCATGGCGATCGGATAAGTTGGGGGCACACATACAACGATTGGATTAATCGTGAACAAGGAGATCGAATAACTCTAGCCGAAGACTCAAGAAAATTTTATGCAGTCTGACAGTCTCGGCTTCTCACATCGAGAACAGCAGACACATAAGAGAGAGAGGAAAGGATGGAGGAGGATACAGAGGTTGAGCAGCGTTAATGCAAATTATATGAACCATGTATACGTTTATCTGCTTCTTCTTCCGTTTCCTAAGACTGTATCAAAACCCCAAGTAAGAAAGACCCTCACACACAAAACCCCTCCCCCAAGTACCAAAAGCAGAAACCAAGTTTTCTTCCCATTTTGGGTTCAAAACCAGACGCCCAGATTGCAGAGCTTTTAACTACTAAAGCCACATTTCCCATTCTGGGATTCCCTCTGTTTCTGTTTCTGCTTCTTTCCTTTTCTTTTCCCACCCTTTTCACAGTTCTTTTACCCCCATCACAGCTTCCACTTGCAGAGCTTTAACTCTAGGCCCCATTACACAAACTGTAAGTAAAATTGGTCAACAACACATTTACAATATGAATGGACCTACTGACTGCGGTCAGTGGTCATTTGTTTAGAAACCCCCCATATCCTGGGAAAAAGTAGACTGTTATTTTCGCTTTCTTCTTTCCTCCTTCAATTGTCAGGAATCAGATTGGTTGGCTCACTTAACACGTACTTTGGTAGTTCATACTTTGCGCCTGCATCAGCATAATGCAAGGAGAGAACTTGCAGGTTGAGTTTATGAAGGTTAACATGTAACTCATGAAGAAAGAAAGGGGATCCAGTAAGGGGAGGAGGAAAGGAAGCAGTTGTTACCTCTCTCGTCGTAGCAAATAGTTAAGTCCTCACTCTGCACAATGACGCCTGCACTGTCCACAATTGCCTGGGCCAGAGATAGCTCGGCTTCTGCAGCAACACGAAGTGCATCCCATATCTCTGGTAACAACAAAAGAAACAGGATTTTGGATTTTAGGGTCAAAACAAGAGATGCAGGATAATGGTGAAATTTATAGGAACGAAGTTGGAAGGCAGTAATCGAGCAAAACTATGGCTGATTTAAAAGGACATGGGTTCCATATAAGTGGTTTGGAGAATGTCATGTAGATTCTTGTTTGTATACACTAGGAAGTTGACGGTGAAACAGAAAAGAGTTAGGACTCCAAAGGACTAGTCCATTCATGTTCGAATTCCAGCAAAAAAGTTCACACAATAAATCTCAAACCATTGAGAAAACAAGTGACTCGTCCATGGTTAATACAACCAGACTGAAACAGCGATGAAACACCCATCTGACCACCTTACAGAACAAACTCGGCCTCTCTATTGTCCGTTTCCTCTATATTTAATATATATTAATCATGAATCAGTCCCTTTTGAAGTGTATAGTTGCATAGATAGCATGCATAGGTGATTCAACAATCTGAACAAATGACATCTCCAGTTGCATAATCAAATGCACAGTCAAAACTCAAAATATTAGCAAGATCTGATCCATGCCATATATCGCTCGAAATGCCAACTTTTGTGCACCACAGCACCAACAATAATCAACACTAGAGGATCTTAAGGCAGACACCTGCTTCCCAGAAACTATCATTACTAGAGACTAATTGAACTCCCTTCCTAAAGGCTTTATTCTAAATCTCAAACTCCATGTTTTTCCCACACTGGCCTTCTTTAATATGATCAAGGCTTTCCTAGATAAGATTACTAATAAAAGGATATCAAAATGCACAGGCTGAAGTGACACAGCTAAGCAAATGACATTGCTATGCTTGCAGATAAAAGAGAATACAGTCTGAAATGTGGATCTTTCGGCCACCTCGTTAAACAAAGAAGATAAAAAAAAAAAACTCCAACTTTTTTAAGGACAAACCAAAGAATGCCACTAATTGATAAGATAAGGAAGGCAAAAGAAACGGTTTCCCCAATTTGTCAGTTACTATCTATTAATAGTCATTATCTATATGCTTCTGATACGGCGAAATACCTTTCTGCCCACCATAGTGAGGAGCTGTGTCCCAAAACTCATCTCGCTTCTGCACGAGTTGTGCCCTTGTAATTGGCTCCGAATGCTTCCATGGCTTCGGCTTCCTTATCTTCTTGTTACCTGCAGCCACCAAACATAGTAGTAGTTGGTTAGTTCATCACGAAGCATCCCCAAAACACCCTTTTGATAGTATCTTTCTAAAGCTACCAGCCTAAAAACAAAATAAACAGGAAAAACATGAACCATTGAGCCAAAGCTCTAACGTGAATTCAGCCAGGCCAAGAAAAACACAGCAAAGCGCGAATCCAAAAAGCCAAATGTCATTAACATTGCTTCCACCACCCCAAGAACAGGCAGGAAATTCAGAGGGGGTCGTCGAGCTTTTGTAAGATTCTGCGCGTTTCGCTGGCTTCTCGCTACCTATCGCCACAAGCCCACAACCAATATCCAGCTACCCCCAAATCCAGGAGAACAAGAAAACAAGAACTAAGAACAGCATATTCCTTATTCTCGACCCAACCCAGAATTCAGAACCCGAATTGGGGGAAAACCCACCATTCCTAACGCAGCGAACTGTCGTATAATCGAAGAACACAATAACATAGCGAAGAATCTAGGGCGGGAATCAAGTAAACCTCCCCTCAACCCATAAAAAAACTGAATTGCGAAAATCTCAATGTATGAACCATAAGCAGAATCAGAGAAAAGAAGAACCCGATGAACGAAAAATGAAAAAGAAGAAACAAATTGAAGGACGAACTTACCTTCTCCCTTGGCGAAGGAAGATCCGGCACAACCCATGGCGGCGAGCTGGAGGAGCAAAGTCAATAGGAAAACGAGAAAGCCCTCCTTCTTGGATTGGAGGAGGAGGGTGAAGGGGGGTAGACGAAGGTTACAATATACGATGTGATTGGCAGGTGGGGATGAGAGGGAAAGTAAATTTGGGTTTTTCCTTTTCTTTTAGTTGATGGGTGTTCTTGGTAAGCTGAAAGTCGCTGTATTTGCGTGCCTGAACATGGAGCGACAGACAGCTATGCGGGAGAAAAGGGAAAGACGAAGACGCTGATTATTCTTTATGAAATAGAGGGAAAAGATTCCACTGGCTGGGAGTTGTGGCTATGGCGCTCGATCTGTTGGGAATTGCCAAAAATAATAATTGGAAGCCGTCGGATTTGCCTTTTGCCTATCTTTGGCATAGAGTGAGAGTCCACTTTCAGATTGGTTTTATTTCCGCCATTTCTCTCTAGATTTTCCCCCCAAGCAATAACGAGTAGATAAAAATAGGTTTGAGACAACAATAAATACTCCGTTTAATACACGTATATGTACACGTATGTATTTTATCCGTTTAAAACTTTCGTATCCGTATTATTGACAAATCTTTTCTTTTATTTCCTTTTATATGATGGCTCCCGTACTAAATGCGTATAAAACCCGTATAATACGTTTAATATTCGTATTAATGAATTAAAAGGTTAAATTTACTATTATTTATATATTTATTTAATTTTATAATAATTATTTTTATATATTTATGACTATTAACGTACTATTAAACGTAACATTCGGTTAGAGACAAAGTAAAATATCCGTACTTATTTTATACGTAACTTTCCCGTACCGTATTTTACTAACTATGCTACCGAGAACCTTTCCAACGCAATATGTTAGTAAATACATGGGTTATAGGTATAATATGCCCTTCTACTATAACGTTTTATCAAACATGCCCCTCTACTATTTTTTACATCAAACATGCCCCTCTACTTTGTAAAAATGATCAAACATGCTTTTGTTAAAATTTTCATCAAAAAACCATTTACCATGGCCGAACTTTGGTTTGGGCGACACAAATGTCTAAAATATCCCTAATAATTTCACTTTAGAATTTATTTTGGTTATTTTGTATAGCTAAATAATTCAAATAATTTCACTTGAAGAGACCTAGAGGAATAAAACGGGGGACAAAACTATCATTTTTTCTCCCATTTGCCGATGTCGGGTCGTCTAAATATCGGTTCAACCATGATTGACGATTTTTTCAATCGAAATTTTAATAGAAGGACATGTTTGATAATTTTTTCAAAGTACAGGGGCATATTTGATGTAAAAAATAATAGAGGGGCATGTTTGATAGAACGTCATAGTAGAGGGGCATATTATACCTATAACCCATTAATTCTACAAAATAAAAATAAAAAACTAGCGACACGACAGAGTTTTACATACCACTCAATAGGTGGCACATGATATGGCCTAGAATTTATATAATGTCACGAGAATCAAGTCAACGTAACTATTGAGTCAAGTCAACGTAACTATTGAGTCTCGATATAGGCTTGCGTATCTTATTATTTAGTATTTTATTTATTAATTGTCTTTATTAGTAGTTTCCTTGTTTAAGTAGGATTTGGTTGTTGTTAGTTATTTCCTTATAGGAGTAGAAGTCATGTTCTAGATGGGAGAAGGTAGAGGCTTCTACGCCTATAAATATGTATGTTTGTCTTTCGTTTAATGGTATGTTGAAGATTGGAATTCATTAGTAGTTGTAGTTATGTTCGTTCCTCTGAATATTCTCTTCATTCTAACTCCCTTTCTTACGAATATCTTTCAACATCGACAACGCACGTTACGCGAATGTTCTCACCGGAGAAATACACGTAACATATAACCAGACAAAGAAGTAACTATGAAGCATTACAAAGTTGTTGAATCACCATCCCATAATAACCTTCCACATTAATCGAGAAAAGTATCCCAAGACCGGGAGCATCCCTATTAGCAAGTGACTACCACGGGTCATCCAAACCAAGATGTAGAGGTAGAGCCCCCACCGCCAACAGTACATGCACGTTTGCCTATTAACAACTAAACCAGACGAACACCCAGAATCTCCTACAACCGCATCAAAAGTTGATCTTCGAAAAGTATTGAGGAGGAGATTCATAGTGGACCAGAGTTTAAGGTGGAGGATGAGGTTCGAGAGGAGCGTGGGAGGGAACAAAACCAAAGGGCAATTCAAGAACTTGGAAAGCAAATTGATGATCAAGAGAACGCACATGTGGACGTGGTTGGTAACATTCATGTACCACCTTATTTCGAGATTTTCAAATTCTCCACAATAAGCAGACACATTGTAGAACATGGGGTTGGGAGTACTCATAGAGCATAACGTTTTTCCAAGAAAGACTAAAATCCGCAGTCAGGGTCGAGTCAATAGAATCACTTACACCCACAAGCGATCATAATTGAACTGTTAGGGCGCATATGAAGAATAAATGCTCAATACTATGTTGATATCTCCAAAATACAGAACACTGGATAAAAACAGTCTCCTGCTCGAAACTGGAGGACACTACTATAGGCAATATCATCTTCAAGCATTTCCATATAAAAAATCAAGCTTACGAGTTCTTTTCCATGTAGGGTACCAATTGTTTAATTTTCAACATGAGATGATAAGAATCCAAGCTCGTGAAAGCTTAGGTTCTTCTATCAAAGTCGCGCAGCTTCGATCTTTTTAGGATTTTCTGGATTTTCTCTCAAAATCTCGAAAAGTAAAGGATACGTGGGGGTAGATACTCGCCACAATCAAGTGTGATCTCTTAATTGATAAGAGTCTTGTCAAGCTCTTCTGGAATCCTTGACAGAAACACTCAAACAAGGATCTTACCCTAGCTATGGAATCCACCGATAGCTAAAACAATAAACCATAAACACTCATGCTTTATGGGAAAACTCCTTAGAGTTCATTTTCATTCAACAAAATTCTCTAATCTCCTTAAATTCGTGTTTTTACAACCCTTTATATAGTCTACGGCAAATAAAATAACCAAAAAGGAACAAAAACCTAAACCTAAAAGGAAGGCCAAACTTGGCCAGGCCCGAAACCTGTTCGGGTATTTTTCCCTTCAAGTTCGGGTATTTTCCCTACCTCAAATACCCGGTCTCTTCATCAAAATCCCTGGTCGGGGATCTTCTATTGAGGTCGGATTTTTGCTGCTGGCGTGTTCACATCATGATAACTCTTCTTTGCGCTATTTGATTCCTTCTTTTTTTTCCTCGTGTTTTTTAATCACTATTCAAGATTGGGTTAGGGATATCTTCAAAAATTAAAAAAAAAAAACTTGTGCGACATGGAAAGGCATTTCTATTGCAGTAGATCGCTAGATTGCAAGAGTGCTGATTGAAAGCGACTCGGAGGTGGTCATTCGTCAGCTCCGGAAGGGTTTCTCGTCAGATGCATTGGGTGAACCAGTACTTCGCGATTGTCTTCATTAGATCTCGGGCATGCCTCTTGGTGTATAGTTTATAGCGGTTCTAGAGTTGTCAATTGGACTACCCACAAAATGACACGTAAAGCCCTTTCTTTATCTTTGTTAGAGTTGGAATCATTTGATTTCTTAGCCTGGCTATTGTTGTAGCTAAGGTCGGTGGGTTCCTGTAGGCATGGGGGTATTGTCGTCTATTGTTGTTTTCTCTTAACATTTCCCGATTGACAAAAAGTTATAGATGAATCCGGTTGCAAACTAGTCATGTAATGAGTAGGATAGTTGCATTACGAGGCATTAATTTCCAGACAAATAACGTTATGAGTGAGTCAAGATCAAAAGTGCGTTGAGCATGACGATCGAGTTCAGTTGGATTCTTATCGGTTGGATATGATTTGAGCGTGCCAGTATGCCAGATTGAGATATATGCTCTCCATGTATCTGTTCACTCAAATTACGTGTTAATTTTTTTTAAAGATTGACCGAGTTACAAATTAATGAATAAGAGCTTACTTTGTTTGAACACCTCTAGGTTGACCAACGATTTTGTAACGGTTAACCACTAAACCCTAAATCACTAATTTTTTCCCCGGTAATTGTTGTCGATCATCTTATTAGCTCTTGCTTGATTAACAAGCTTCTTCGAGAAAAATACATCTGCCATCCAACAGCAGCATACAATCATCCCTCTACCCTGCTACAAGTTCATAGCATAAGTAGCATTACGGCCAACAATCACATCAAATTCAACATTACCCTAACAATAGTAGGCCACTTCCTGCTTGATCTGCAGAAGTATATCACTGCTGCTCTTCGCGTCTGAGTTAAAAGCCCGAGCACATCTTTCCCTCCATACAAGGGTCACATACCAACACCACAATACACCTAATAGCTCATTACCACCAGCAACCAATCTGCAAAGCTCCTGCAACATTCCCATCCATTGATGAGGCCAAATGATATCTGGAAAGAGACCAGCTAACACTGCTCTTGCATAATGACAATAACAGAATAGGTGATCTCTAGCTCAACATCCGGCCTGGTTCTGGAAACAGATGGAGAGTATGAGGATTTGTACCACTAATTTTTCCAGTTCAACATCCGGTCCGGTTCTGGAAACAGATGGAGAGTATGAGGATTTGAAGTTTTGAACCAATGTTATGTATAAACTCGAGTTATGAACCGGTTGGACTCGATCGGATTGATCAAATCGGGCAAATACTGACCAACAAAGAACTCCAGACCGAGAATTTGCCCATCTGCGTGGAACATGGTTGTCATGCCGGTGGCATGCCACCGCCCACCCGGTTGAACCTGATTCAACCTGTGCCGGTCATAAAACCGGCGTGACACCACCGGTATGACCGGTATGATCGACTTACACATTCTAAGCAAAATGACATCATTTTAATGAATTTAATTAATAAAAAAACTAATTTATTATTCATTTTATGAATTTAATAGTTAAAAAATGATGATATTTGTTGGATTGTAACTAAATTGTCCACAAATATGTTTTATATATGATCAAATACATTAGATATTAATTATTTTCACATTTTTTTAAATCGGCACGAACCGGCACAAACTGGTCGTACCATTCCACTTGCCAAACCGGCATAAGAGTATAAACCGGTTTGACAACCTTGGCGTGGAAGGAGGAGAAGCGGCTTCTAGGTGCCACCTCAGCACTCTCTCCTTCTCGCGCACTCTCCTTCATCTCAACAGCAGAGGAGTCGACGAACTGTCACTCTCTCTATCTACTCTCCACCCGTCGAATTTCAGCACAATTTTCTGCCCGCCGTCGGATCGCACCTCCTCCGTTCACTGGAAAATTCTAGGGCACCAATTTCAGCTCCTCCGCATTTTGCCCCGCCCCGCCACCATGAATATCTTCAGATTCTTCGGCGACATGACTCACCTCATCAGTATTCTGATCCTGCTTCTCAAAATCTACGCCACCAAATCCTGCTCAGGTAAAATTCCTCCTCCCTCGCTGCCGGCCGCCGTGAATGGTTGCGCTGCTCTTATGGCCCTTCTGGAACAAATTGATGCTCGAATTGACCGGCACCTATCGTTTGTTTTTTCATTATTATTAGGGATTTCGAGGAAGACGCAGGAGCTGTACGCGCTCGTGTTTCTCGCGAGGTACTTGGATCTGTTCACGAACTTCGTCTCCGTTTACAACCATGTTATGAAGATGGTGTTCATAGCCAGCAGTCTCGCCATCGTGTGGTGCATGCGGAGGCATCCTCTCGTCCGCCGTTCTTACGATAAGGACCTCGATACGTTCCGCCACTATTTTCTCGTCGGCGGAAGCTTCGTGCTGGCATTGCTTTGGCACGAGAAGTTCACGTTTCTGGAGGTGACTACTTGATCATCTTTTGTCCTCGTTGATCGTTGTGATTTTGGAACGATCATAGGTTGTCATTTACTTCACTAGAAGTGGTTTAAGCGTTTGATTGTGCTTTGGCTTGGTCCTGCACCATTATTTGAGAGTGGCGGTATTTGCTCTGAAATGTGGCTGAGAACCTCCCAGAGAGTTGATGCTGCGTCTTGTTCTGTTAAGCTTTAAGTACTCTCTATATCCGTGGTGCAGTTTTGGTTAAGTATCATTTTGATTTTGGTTCGAAACCAAGGGAGGGAGGAAAGAAGGAAAGGGGTTATATGCTTTGAATTTGGTAGAGAAGCTCCCAGAAACGGACGCTGCTTCTTAATCTTTAGTACTCTTCTATATCTGCTGTATGATCTTTATGAGTAAAATTCAGTTGGAACTTGGGAGTACTTCATTAGCTTCAAGTGGTAGATTGAATCTTAAGGACAGTTGTCTTTCTTCACAAGCCATTTCCATTTTTTGCTTTGTACTCTTATAGTCATAATTTGGTGTAGATCTTCTGGGCATTCTCAATATATTTGGAAGCAGTTGCAATTCTTCCTCAGTTGGTCCTGCTCCAGAGGAGTGGCAATGTGGATAATTTAACCGGGCAATATGTCTTATTTCTCGGGTACGTAAATGCACTCTTTTTTGCTCGAACCAGTTCAATTTGTAACTCTATGGATTTGTAGGATATTTACTAATGATTATGTGCTATGACATATTGGAACTTTTAAATGTTTGGTATATCTAGAATCACTCTTTTGTCGCACCACTCTGGGTCATGCAATGATGTATCTAGATGGCCATATCATGTAGAGCACCATTGGGATGAAAGAGCGCCCTGTTGAAAGTTTTGTCGGCTTAAAGCTTTTCTTTTCTGCATTGTGCTGGATGAATTTTCTTTGCCCTTCCGAATTACTTGTTGAGAGATCTACGTTGGCCTTCTTTATATATCCTGCCTTGCTGGTATCTTTCTGATGACGTAACTGATAGCTTTTAGTACTAGTGTAAGATGATCGTGGAGAGCTTTTCTGCACTGACCATTATGTTTGTTCTCTTAACATATTAGGCTTGAGAGTTGATCTTAATTTTCAGTTTCATTCACAATCATCAGTATGTTCATCATATCGGTGTCATGAGAAAGCTACCGGCTTGGGACAGGTGGACTGCTCCAGGCTTTGATGGCTTTAATTTAACTGCTATTTGATCCTCACCTAGGATGTCTGAGTGTGGGGTTAGCCATTTAAAAAGAAAACATAATACCAACTCAGTGGTTAGTTTGTTTCTTCTGATGTGTATGGTTAGGTTGTTTCTTACATTATCCTGGTTTAGTAAAATTGCTGGTATATTAGTTTTACACAAGAACCAAAACTATAAGCTTTTTACTTAGTGGAAGATCAAACCAGTGGTGACAGCCTTTCCCTTGTCATCATTTAAAATGTTGGGTGCTAGTTGCAAATATTGGCTTCTAGAGATCACTCTAGATGTCTTAGTTTCTAAACACAGCCATGTGGTGTGCCGAAGGCATGTAACCCAATAACAGTAAATCTTAGGAGTGACCCAGTCTTTTGTCTTACAGGGCCTACCGTGGATTCTACATCTTGAATTGGATATACCGTTACGCGACTGAATCACATTTCGGACGTTGGATAGGTAAAACAGTAACTATCACTGTCTCCCCACGGATTGTCCCTTGTATTTCTTCTGTCTTTCTTCTTGAGAGAACCATGTTGCATTTTGATATAACTCTGCCCTGTTTTCTTCAGCTGTCATCTCTGGCGTCCTACAAACAGCCTTATATGCAGACTTTTTCTACTACTACTTTTTGAGGTATGCAAGTCGTTCGTGTTTGCTGCTGCTCCACACCCCTGATAACCTGTTTTCTTATCTTAATCTCAATCTACACTTTTCTTCTTCAGTTGGAAGAACAACGCAAAGCTTCAGCTGCCAGCTTGAGCCAGACTTTCGGCATGAGGTGCTCTTATTGTGGGTTAAAAGTTCTAACAAGGGTTTTCTGTAGTCAGCGATTAGCGAGTGCAATGCTACAGGGGAAGCAGGGGTTTGCTCCTCATTTCGGAACAGTCCTTGGTGGGGTTTCAGCTTCAGCAACAGCTGCAGCAGAGCCTCCCTTTACTTCCATAGATGTAAAGGCGGATGAATATGGATATAAGGATAGGGAATAGGGTCTTTACCATTCACCGTCGACTGATTACGTCAACTGACTTACCATTGCCTTAGTTAAAAGTCATATAATACATGTTTGCTGAAAATTGACGAACATTGGATTATTTCTTTGTTCAAATTTGGAACTTGGATTCTTTATTTCGTTTCTTCCCCATTCTTGTGTTTGCTTGTGTATATATATTTGGCTCTTGATTTATGAATTCCATCTCTCAGAGATTCCATTTCTGGTTTTGATTCCGTACATAGGCCAACGTAAAATGCTGAACGCATTTACCGTCTGGATTGATATTCCAGGCTTATTAATTTCAGTTGAGGAATCAAGGTTCTGGATTGATATTCCAATAGAAGATTTCATATCTAGTTTTTGTATGAAATGTGTGGAATTGGTCAGGTTCCTCAAATGTGCGAATTGTGACGAGTTTCAATTAGTTTTTGAGTGAGCTCCATCCATCTCGATTTAGAGGTATATCTATGGTCATCGTTGTTGTTTTACCGTGTGTGTATATATGACCCATTAATTAATACTAGCGTATCATGTTATATAGGGATCATCGATCGTATTGATACTGATAACTCCGATTTCGAGATGCTCACATAAAAAATGCCTCTAATCCATATTCGAGTAAGGAAATTCAATTAACGATATGTAGAAACCGAAATCTCACCTTATGTATACTTTGAAAATGTGGATTGTGTTCTACAAATTAAAATTAAAAAAAAAACTAAAATTCCAAAAGAGAAAGAGACCGTAGGGAAAGAAAAACTGAATGGTTAAAGGTCGTCCTAAAAATTACTAACCATCGTCCTAACTTAATATGTAATTTACCGAATTGCCCATTTTGGATTTCAAAATCAAACACAAAACAAACAACCCCTCCCCTTCCATAAATCTAAAAAAATATAAACCAAAATCCAACAAATTATCTTATGGACCGAACCATAAATCGTAGTAAAAGAATAGAAAATTATTGATATAAACCAAACAAATCCAAAAACATTCCGAAACCCCTCAACGAAACCAATTTTCGGTTGTACCATGGCTCAACCTAAGGCAATTTTCGGTTGTACCATGGACCAACCAAAAATCACCTTAGGTTGAGCCATGGCACAACCGAAAATTGGCTTCGGTTGAGGGATTTTGGGTTTTTTTGAAAAAAAAAATCGGATTTTTACTCGTCGGAGTCGCTACTCATGATTCAGACGTATTCCCAACGAATACGACTCGAGAATGTCAACGATGAATTCGAGAGTGTGAGAAATTGAGTGTTTTTCATTTTTTTTTTAGTTAAAGTGATGTTTGTTTGCTAAAGATGACAAAAGGTTAAAGTGTAACTTTGTTATTTTTTAGGACGATCAATAGTAATTTCAAGGATGACGTTTATCAATTCCAAGAAAAAACCTAGAAGAAGCAACGGGCCCGCCACGAAACGGGAAAATTGAACATATCCAAGAGAAGAAGAGTCCAATAGCCCAAGTAGAGAGTCATTTACACATCAGCCCAATTGTGATTGGTCGTGTCCTACGTGTCGTAATCTAATTGGCCGTGTCTCGTGGCCACCTGCCCGCCCTCTCTTTATGTAAACTCCAACTGTTACAACCTTCTACCCACATCGTGGTTTTTTCGGAGCGGGTCAAAAAAACGAGCCGCGTCCTGCTCTACTTCTCTGCGAGCTCCATTTCCGCCATCGACAGATCGCGTTCAAAAGTAAGGCTCCCTGCTTTCGAATCCCTGAATCTGTTTATGCCTCTACTCGATTGCTCAACGCATTTCTCTGGACTTAGCGCATCTGCAATCGAGCTAGATCGGTGCAAACTATGCCGTATTGATTTTTCAAATCCCACTTGCATGTGAATTAGGGTTCCGATTTAGGCCGTTCGTCGATCTGTCTGGTTTGATTCAGTTTACGCCAATTTCATATTACCGATTTTGCCAGTCTGATTCTGGATCTGTGCTCTTACCATCAATTTTTGGCTGCTGTGTGAAGGTGTTATTGTCATTGACTCGTGAAAAAAAAAAAAAATGGGAGGAGGATTCAGGGTGCTCCATCTGGTGAGACCTTTCCTTTCGTTCCTGCCCGAGGTGCAGAGCGCAGACAGGAAGATCCCTTTTAGGGAGAAGGTCATCTACACTGTCATCGCTCTCTTCATCTTCTTGGTCTGCAGCCAGCTGCCGCTCTATGGCATCCACTCCACAACCGGCGCCGATCCTTTCTACTGGATGCGTGTGATTCTCGCATCCAACAGAGGTACGGTTATGGAGCTCGGGATTACCCCTATTGTTACCTCTGGGCTGGTGATGCAGCTCTTGGCTGGATCCAAGATCATTGAGGTCGACAACAGCGTTCGTGAGGATCGTGCTTTGCTGTAAGTCATTGCCTCTTGTTTCTGCTCTTTGTTTGATTAGCAAGTGGTGGAGCTGTTGGTGATGTGAGCGTTTGTAACGGGCTGAGCTTTTCAATTTTTGAATGTATTCTTTCTTCTACTGAAATTTTGTATTTGTCATTGGTGGGTTATTAGGAATGGCGCACAGAAGCTGTTGGGTATCCTGATTGCTGTTGGTGAGGCTGTGGCATATGTGCTATCTGGGATGTACGGAAGCGTTGGTCAGTTGGGTGTTGGGAATGCGATTCTAATCATTCTTCAGTTGTGCTTCGCTGGAATCATTGTTATCTGTCTGGATGAGCTGCTCCAGAAGGGATATGGTCTCGGCTCTGGGATTTCTCTCTTCATTGCCACCAACATCTGGTAGGGATGCATACATAAGTTTCTGCTTTCCTCAATCGGTTTAGTTGCGGTGTTGATTGGTTCACGCACTATAGCAATCCATCAAAAGTATAATACATGGAATGTGGTGGAAATGGAGGAGTTGGACGTTCCATCATTTGGATGCCGTTTTAGTAATGTCGGAAAATGGCTCATGGAATTCAACTAGGACAGCACTTCGTTTGACCATTGTTAGCAACTAAGAAACTTAGAACAACATGAACAGTCATGGAGTGTGAGAATCCTACCTGTCCTCGGTCAAATTTAGATTCCATCTCTCCTACTTTTCTTCTACTTGAAAGACTACACCAAATAAATTAAGTTTTCATCTCATGATAGAATTTAACTCAAGATTGCACGAACACATTCCATAATCCAACCTACCCATTAATTTATCTATGCTGGGTTCAATGCAGTGAAATGTTAATTCAAGATTATTGTTTGCTCAAATGTTAATTCAATGCAGTGAAAACATCATCTGGAAAGCATTCAGCCCTACAACAATCAACAGTGGTCGGGGTGCCGAGTTCGAGGGTGCTGTTATTGCCTTGTTCCATCTCTTAATTACTAGGACGGACAAAGTTCGTGCTCTTCGAGAGGCTTTCTATCGGCAGAATCTTCCAAATGTTACTAATTTGCTTGCCACAGTCTTGATCTTCCTCATTGTTATCTACTTCCAAGGTTTCCGTGTTGTGCTACCTGTGAGGTCAAAGAATGCTCGTGGGCAGCAGGGTTCATACCCAATTAAGCTTTTCTACACCTCCAACATGCCAATCATCCTCCAATCTGCTCTTGTTTCCAACCTCTACTTCATCTCTCAGCTGCTCTACAGGAAGTACAGCGGCAATTTCTTTGTCAACTTGTTGGGAAAGTGGAAGGAGTCTGAATACTCTGGTGGCCAGTTCATCCCTGTTGGTGGCCTTGCATACTACGTCACTGCGCCAGCTAGGTAAAGCAGCCCATCAATTTGTCTCTTCCCTCTCCCTCCATATCTCACGTTTGCAATGTCTTGTGTATCCTGTGGTGCGTTCTTCTCACTTGTCTTTTTTTGGTTCGGTGTTTCTATGAATTTCACCTATCGCAGCTTGGCAGACATGGCAGCCAACCCATTCCATGCATTGTTTTACCTGGTATTTATGCTCGGTGCTTGCGCGCTCTTCTCGAAAACCTGGATTGAGGTTTCTGGGTCTTCTGCTCGTGATGTTGCCAAGCAATTGAAGGTACGATTTGGTGGTCATCTTTGATTATTTGCTTCTTTCTCTAGTTTCATGCTAATGAATGCTGTAGCTTTGTCTTTTGGTTGTGTTACCTGATCGTGTGTGCTCTTTCCCCTTTTCAGGAGCAACAAATGGTGATGCCAGGACACCGTGACTCGAACCTGCAGAAGGAGCTGAACCGCTACATCCCAACGGCAGCTGCTTTCGGTGGGATTTGCATTGGTGCATTGACCGTGCTGGCTGATTTCATGGGAGCAATCGGTTCGGGAACTGGAATCCTGCTGGCAGTCACCATCATCTACCAGTACTTCGAGACCTTCGAGAAGGAGAAGGCCAGTGAGCTCGGCTTCTTCGGCTTCTGAGAACCCTGTTAGCTTTCCTGCTGTAGTAGTTGTTTTCCCCCATGTATCCTTCTGTTAATTAAAAGTGTTAGGAAGAGAAGAACATACGAAAGTTGGTCAAAGTGACAGTTTTTGGGTGAGAAGCTAGTTCTTTTTTTCATTTAACTACTGTTTTAGCACATTTAGTGAAGACTTGTTAAGTCGGAAGTTTAGTACTTAATGTTAAAAGAAACTGGTTGATATGTGGGAGTGGGGATGTATCACTATTTGCACTTAGCAGAGTATGGTTCATCAGATAGTCTAACGGAACGGATGAATCGATGTTCACCTACTTTGAACGTTTTTATTTTCCACCGCTGCTACTTTCAGCATTTTCGATATGAAGCCCTAGTTCCTCGCTCCAGCGTTCTATCGAAATAATTTCGTTCTTCTGTGTTTCGAATGATTTATTGCTTGTGTTGAAAGCTAGCGTTTCGTTGACAAAAATGCTGACAGAATGAACATTTTTCATCTGGCTATGAGTTTCACCACCTGAAGCCCAGGGCTTTGATGTCGATCCCCGAAATGGGAGTGTCGAAACTTCATATCTTCCTATCAACAACGGCAGGGGGAAGCTGCCGATGTGATCCACTATAGACAGCTATAGATGGGAGTTTGAAGAGATGAATAAGGCAACTGAAATCTTGAACTTGTGAAATGAAAAGGAATAACCCTAGTGACTGTTACAAAGATTCGAGTATCACAAGATCGCTCGTCTTGGGGGTCGCATTAGATCAGGTACCACCAATCCCGAACCTGATTCTCAGAAAGCAGCTGAAATTGTTCGCCATGTCGATTTTGGGAGTCCGCCTGGACAGCAGGCTCGATCCTTAAATGCAGAGCCCTGGGGAAGTACTACGACGAATTCACTGTGATAAAACGAACTGTATTTGGGAATGATAGACTGCAAACTGTTCAATTCAAACATAACTTGCCGAAAACCCACCAAAGAATCAACCTTTATGCAGAGAATAGAATAAACTCGATTGCCAGTTTTCACTATAACATTTACACATTGGACAGGGCAATTGAATTTTACCAAACCAATAGTCGACAGTAAACGCAGGGAATGAAAATAAATCACTCACTCGACTACTCTCTCTAGACAGAGCAAAAGGGAAAAAAGTATATAATCCCACCACCATTACTGTCTCTGTTAACAATGGTGGGAACATTCAAACAACAGCAAAGTACAGACCTTTCTTTTCCTTATCATAACTTCACTGCCACAATACTGCAATGCGTTAATTCATTGCAATCCATCCATCATCAACCGTCAAGCAATAACCATTCAGTTCCTGTTCATAAGATAAGATTCCATCCCTCTTCTCGCATCCATCCACCCTACACCACCTTAGCAAAGCCCATTCATTTGTTTACCAGACCAACCATTTTTCACTGTTTCGTTCGAAACAGCCATCCATTTCCCTTCCTTCGCCAGATTTGCAGGGCTTTGACTAGCCTCCCTTCCCGGGGCTATGCCATGGCTAATGGGCCACAAACAAACCACGTCTCTTCGTTCAACTAAATGGAGGCCAGGGCTTTGCTATTGTGTGTATTCTTCCGTCATGAATTCAACCAACAAATGACCCACAGAAAAATGCTGTCGAGGAAGAAATGGATAGGACGTTAGGGGGATCTGCTGTCTTCATCTTCTTCATCAGATAAAGGGTCTGAATCTTCAGCAAGAGCTCTGAGCATGTGCAAGACATCACTTGTGTCGTCCAAATAGTACTTGGCTTTGCTTGGTTTCTGGCCTACTGTGCATGCAAATACGTTCGTGCTCGATGCGAGTACTCCGCTTGTTGAAGCATTACCGATCCTCTCAAACATGTCTTCGTCCGACCTGTCGTCGCCAATGCACAGCACAAAATCGGCCTGTCTTCCTTTATCGGCCATTGATGTAAATATCTTCTCCGCTACTACACCTTTGCTAACACCCTGATTAAGAAAAGATAAACCAAAGATCAGAACAATTTGCATTAATAAAATGCTGGGCAGATTCGTACCAAGAGTCCCAAGTGATTATCAATCATGAAAGAGGATACCAAGAAGCACTATTAGCATCTAATATCTGGACAGATTCTTACTAGAGCCCTAAGATAAGAGATCAGCCATTACACTTCCACATGCTGTAAGGCTAATAACAATCAATCATGGAAGAGGATATTAGGAGGCACTATTAGCATCAAATAACACAGCAGTTAGGAACCAGTTCAAATAACATATCCATGTCCTCCAAAAAATATATTATCTTCCAACTATATAAGAACCCATTTAACTCCATCAGTTGGTACTAACCAACTTTTCACTCCAATGCATACCAACTTTTCACTTGTACCTTTAAATTCCAAGTTTTCCAAGTTTAATATGTTAAACCTACATTACTTTTGCACTCCCTCCCTTTCTCTTTTACAAGACTATGAAAGTTGGTGGAGTCCATTTTAGACATTTCACAGGACGAAATTATCTAAATAATTCCATCTATTCTAAAACCTGTACGACCACCTAATCATTTCACCACTTATTGACTTATTCTAAGAATATTTTCACACACTCCCAATTCTACTACCTGACACTTTACAGGTTCTCCAAGTGACATGCATTTGGTTAAATCAAATGAACCAGCAGGGAACAGCAAATCAGACATCAATTAAGTTCCTGCCTAATAGAATATGACTTCAGTTTGAAGTAATAGCTAAAGAAACTGGACATGGTAGCAAAATGAATCAGATTGGGAATTTGGCTGCAAATGCGACAACAATCAAATGAGTCAGGAGATACGCTCACCTGCGGCTTTACTTCCACAATATATTGACCACTTTTAACAGTTACGGGTTCATTTGCAAGTACACTTTCAAGATGGTCCAACAACTCCTTAGCCTGGCTTGCACCAAAACCTGGATCAGCATCTCTATGGTGCCAGACCAAGGCACTCTCCTTGGTCTCGATGTAAGAACCGTCTGTTGATTCTGTATACAACTTCATTACGGGCTCAGCTATCTGAAACCATCCAAAATCACAGTTTTGCCCACAGATTTCCCAGTCCTTATCAGCAGACCACCTGTCACACCATGAAAACTTTCGGAAATGGGAACCAAGTTCAAAAGATAAAACAAAAATAAAAAACTCAAGTAGCAGACTACTTACCTCAAATAGTAACCATGTTCCGCAGCAATTCCAAGTTTTTTGCAAGGAGAGAACCACTGACCTAAACTATCCTTCCCTCTTCCACTAACAAGAAAAACTGTGTTCTTTGCATCACTGCTGAGGGTATTGATAATTGAAAGTACTTCTTGACTTGGCGACTTATTGATTGATGTTTGAGGCATTACTGTTCCATCATAATCAAGCAAGATAGCCCTCTTCTTGGACCTCAAATATGCACTAACAATTGCATCAATTGACAGCTTTCTGAAGTTAGGATCGAGCGCGACAACTCTGAAGCCAAAGCTCAACCCAATACCCCAACATCGCCTTCTGAAGTGGTCTTTGCATGCCCTCTCCAGATCTTGGAAAAAGCTTCTCGACCAGTATGCCACATCATGTGAACTGACATATCTGTAGTGCTTCTCGTGCCGCAACTGCTTTTCATTGTCAGACATCGAAATGGCCTCATTCATAGCCTCGGCAGTTGATTCCATGTTCCAAGGATTGACCCGAATAGCACCGCTAAGAGAAGGGGAACACCCAATGAACTCAGAAACAACTAGCATGCTCTTCTTGGGGACACTGGATTCTGAACTGGAACTTGAACCAGAGACACCCTGCCTGCACACAACATACTCATAAGGAGTAAGATTCATCCCGTCCCGAACAGCTGCCACCACCACACACTCAGCAACATTGTAGTACGCTGTCCTTTCACTAAGTGATACTGGTCTATCGATGAACACAACTGGTTCATAGCCTGGTCTGCCGAAAGTCTCATTAATCCTCTTGCAACTTTCCTGAATCTCCGCCTGCACTTCTTCGAGGTCTTTCCCGCTCCCCCTGGCAGGATTAGCAATCTGGACCAAAACCGCCCTTCCTTGCCACTTTGGGTGTTGTTTCAGCATCGCTTCCATTGCCAGAAGCTTCAAGTTAAGACCTTTGAAGATGTCCATATCATCAACACCGAGTAAAACCGTCTTTCCTTGAAACTGCTGTTTCAGCTCTTTCACTCTCCACTCATTATCAGCATGCTTCAATACTGTCTCAATCTGTCCCATGTGAATGCCAACCGGCATGATCTTGATTCCGATCGTTCTACCGTAGTATTCCAATCCAATATAACCTCGTTTTGACTGATATTCTAACCCCAACATACGACTACAGCAGGAGAGAAAATGACGAGCATAATCAAACGTATGAAATCCAATAAGGTCAGCATTCAGCAGTGCCTTGAGAATCTCTTCCCTCACAGGCAATGTTCTGTATATCTCTGACGATGGGAATGGACTATGAAGAAAGAACCCCATTCTCAATCTGGTGAACCTTCTTCTCAAGAAGGTTGGTAGCACCATCAAATGGTAGTCATGAATCCAGACATAATCATCCTCCGGATTTATAACCTCAATCACCCTCTGTGAGAAGATTTTATTTGCCGCAACATACGCTTCCCACAAGGATCTATCGAACCGCCCACCATGACTGGCAGAGAAGGGAAGCATGTAATGGAAAAGGGGCCACAAATGCTGCTTACAAAACCCGTGATAAAACTTGTTCAAGATATCAGGAGGCAGGAATGCAGGAACACATTTAAACTTGTCCAACAAAAGCTGGGACACATCGTCTTGCTCGCTCGGGTCAACCTCAACCCGCAAAGAACCAACATATATAACTTCCATATCTTCATGGAAACCATCTTTACACTGTAACATTAAAGAATCCTCATCCCAGCTAAAACTCCACCCTTTATTATCCGGCCTCCGCTTGGCCTTCACCGGCAGCTGGTTCGCCACGATTATTATCCGGTCCTGGATTAAGGAAGACTGCACGTCCGAGGCAACGCTATTCGCCTGATCATCGTCAAGCTCGGAGATGACCCCAGGAACAGTCATCACACGAGACAACCTCTTCCTCTCCCGCGGCTGTTGACTCATTATCGGGAAGTTGCCCGAAGCTAGATCCAGGAGATTGGTATACGATTTGGACATCATCTTGAAAACCCTTTCTAGCTCTTCACAAGAGCTCAGCTATCAACGAAAAAAATGGGAAATTTAGCAGCCCCACGATCTCAGAAAACCCCTCGCCCCAGCAGAAAGACGGGAAATTTAGCAGGATCTGCAAATGGGTACCGAACAGAACCCAATCACGATACCGCGATAACGATCAATCGAGCAGAAGACAACCCTAAAATCCGATCAAAAGAGGGTACCAGCAAAACAAGTTAAAAAGGTGGATGAGATCCAAATATAGCCAAAAACGAATGATTAGACTGCGTAAGAAAACAGAGACGAGGACAAAACTAGATAACACACTACAAATTGGGAACTTTGGAAGTGACGAATCCAAAGGCTAAGTAGGTGGGTGGGAGACGGATAGCAATCGGGAGATAAAATTGAAGGAAAAGGGAACAAATTGGAGATAGAAATAATCATACACACTGAAAAAAAACAACTGACCTCTGGTTCGTCGGAAAGGTGTGAGAAGATACGAGTAGAGAGGTTGTTTGTAATTGGATCTGAAGAATCGAAGAAATTGGGAAAGGAGGAAGGAAGCACTGTGTGGGGAGGGTTTTGGGGAAGGAGAAAGGAATTTTATTTTTGTTATTTGGCAAGGAAGGAAGAAGAAATCTAGGGTTTGGCTTTGCTGGGTTGGGTTGGTCCTCCCTGCATTTTACATATCCTTTTTCTTTTCTCTCTCTCTCATTTTTATCTATCTTTTTTTTTTTTTTTTTATGGGCATTTTTATCTATCTGTATCTGTACAATTTTCCTTTTAGCATAATTTTTCTCGACTTTTTTTTTTTTTTTTGTGGGGGAAAATTGTAAGTGGGCAAAATTAAAAGAAAATAAAGGAGAAGAAAAGGGTGGGAAAATGAAAGAGGATAAGGTCCAGCCAGTAGGCAAATAGTTATACACAGTCATGCCAGCTGGCAAGTTGGCCGGAGGGAGGACTCTCTCTCACGCGCTCTCTCTCGGGCTTGGAGCCGTCCGGCGTGGCGGCACGTCGGCGGTGGAACCCCAGGCGTCCGTACATTTGCAGGAAAACCAGATAGAAAGGCTGATATTTTTGTTTTACTTGTTTAGAATTTCACAATTTTTTTTTAATTAGTAAACACTATACTATCACTAAAAATTAGTAAATGTTATAAAGCTGTAGATATTTTAGATAGTTGAGATAGTTTTATGTGAAGTACACAATCACATACCAAATATTATATTTTATAATGCATCCAATTCATCGATACATATTCATCAATACATGTATAATATTATACATGTATTCACAACAATACATTTTTATTTAACAATCGCAATTTCCAAACTTTAAATTTCACATGTTTGTTTGTATTGAGATTTGAGGAGGGAGTATGGAATGGCAAAAATTGCCATAATTATGGACACTCGTCTAAATTCGTGTCAATTGGGGTAATATTCGAACTAAATATAATATTTGGTATTATGAATAAATTTGACCACGGATATTATGGATAATGGGTACATGAATATACTTTTTCTTTTTTCCAATCCTAAGTCTTTCTATTATACATGCATATACAATGTTTTGTATAAAGCGTCACTTTTTATTTTACCATACATCAGTATTCCTGATATAATTGTAGCGTTTCATGAACCAATATTTATTTTCTATCATTTTTTGTAGTATTGGTGATTCATTATTTATAATTCTTCGCATATGTAACGTTATTATCAGTGGATATACATGATTCCAGACCCAATTGGGTATGGGCATAGTTTTAATTTACTTTATGAATTTTCTGTGAGTATGAGAGTATGTATAACGCATGAATTAGTTAGATCAGGATAATGGATAGTTATTATCCAGTCCAATCCAACTCGTTGTTATTCATAGAGGAGAGGCAGAAAGCAAAGGGTACTATGGTAGCCTGGTTTGGTCTGGTCTGATCTGATCGAGTTGGTTGGGCAACCGGGCAATGTGCATTGATTGGGGTAGCAATTATGTCTCCCTGCCTACACCACAATCCACAACCTCAAAAACCCATCTGCCATCTCCCCTTGTACTATTATGTACTCTTTTTATCTTCTTGCCAACGAGACACACTTTTCTTCTCCTTTTTCCGTGGCCAATGAATTGGGAATTGGAATCGAACCGGCCGAAGTAAAGGGTGTGGTGGTGGTATGAAGTTGTTGTTATAATGATGATAGGTATATATATATATATAGATGTAGGGGCGGTTATACGGTCCGGTTCGGTTAAATTGGGTTAAATTGATCCGGTCTCGGTCTGATCTTTTCAAGAATATAAGGACTAAAGATTGGATTGGATACAGTCCGGTTTTGATCTGGTCCGGTCTAAATTCGATCTTGATTTTAGATTGAACTTGTGGGATTTGAGTGGCCTGAGGCCTCAAAGGATGAGGAGTTGGTTAAGTTTTGAACTTTTGGGTGTCAGACTCTCTTATCCTGTCTTTATCCGGTTTTCAGTCCAGTCCCAAACGGTTTTCAGTCCGAAGATGAGATTGGATTGTTTGCTATCCGGTCCCAGTCCGGTCTCGGTTTGGGTTATACGATCTAGTTTCGGATAAAACCAAGAAGTCCGGACCAAATAGCCACTCTATATAGATGTATGATGGGACTCATTCTGTAATGGCTTTTGGGCTAAATTTATGTTAGAGTTATTTATTTAAAGTGGAAATACCATATTTTGAGCTATTATATAATAACGCATTAATTAGGAGTTGTAGATAACCAGGAAAACAATTTTGACCTGATTCATTTTATCCAATTTGTTTGACCTGTTTCGAGATTCATAATACCAACCTCGTAAATGAGGCGGGATGAGCATGAGTCTTCTTCTCAACCTGCCCCGTGTGCATCATGACCTTTCAAGGGGATGATTATGGTCGTGTATCAAGATACACATCCGACCTGCCCACATAGGCGGGGGCAAGGGCAATAGGATGTGTCCGGGGACACATGTAGTTTTTGGGTAAAATAATATACCACATATATATGTGTTGATAAAAGATTGTACACATCACATTTAGGTAATATAAAAGTGTTTTATCACTACACCACATGTTATTTTAAGTTTAAAAACTAGCATGAATCAATTTATCATACTATAAAAAAAAATTATAATACCTAAAAATCTATCTTTCTGTTTGCTCAAATTAGTTTTGACTCTATCTGTTGCAACTTCAAGTGTAGAAATAACATTTTCTAACTTTGAGATATATCAAAACCAAGTTTCAAAATCGAATTGCGATCAATTTGTTAATTAGTGCTTTATTTTGATACCTTGAGAATATGAAAATGCGTCGTGATTATTTATGAAAATAATAAGTGTATTCTTCTAATATTTATTTATTATTTGTGAAATTTGAATATTATTAGTTTAATTATATTTATTAAATAATTAAGTATTTATTAATATTATAGAAAGAGGACACGGGCTGACTCCGCCACTGCCTGTGTTCAGTAGCGGTGATTACCTATGGAGTATATCAAAAGCAAAAAAAAATCCTTGCAATTACCGTTCAAACTTCTTTGGTTTGACCTCAACCTTCTTCCGGACCTTCCCTCCTTATTACGCAGAGTTCAATCGTGGTACCACCTAGGGCTGGCATTTCGGTTAGTTCGGTTATAACCGATAACCGAAATGCCGGTTGCCGGTTAACCGCGCCAGGGAGGGAGCCTACCGACAACCGCCCGATCAAATCCTTCGGTTAGCCGGCAACCGACCGGTCAGTTGCTCGGTTAACCGAAGTAACCGCAGGAACTGACAGAGACGGTTATACCCGAGTAACCGAACCGCTAATCGAACCGACCAGGCCTATTTTATTCTCATAACCATAATAGATTTTTAATTTCAGAAATAAAATTATACATGTAAATTGTAGACGATCTTTCATAAATCTTATTATTTTTTTGTTAATTGTTATACAATTGCATGACGAGAGAATTTGGAGGGTAATCAAATGATAAAGTAAGGATTTTGAGACTGTTTCTTCCACACATCAGAAAAAGGGTGTACCCTAAAGCGAAGCAAGTAAGTTGGTTCAATAATACACACGTGTTTATTCATTTGTACAGTAATTTTCCTCGAGTTAATTAACCATATCTCGGTTGTACTTGCTCTAGTTCTTGAACCCTAGAGTTAAAAGGCTATGACTTCAAGATCGATAAAAATTGCCTAAAATTAAACGTTCAGCCTTACATTTCTACATCTAAATCACTCCACAAGTCAAGTTTCAATCATTTTTGCATACAAAATAGATTTAAAATCACCAAATTAATGTCTCAAATACTAGAACATAAAGTCATAAACTACATAAAGTCACAAATTACAAGTCACCACCAATTCATCACTTATCAACCGAAGAAGAACCAACATCTACATAACCCTTTTCTTTCAGTTGCGGCAAGAGGTGATGACCAACATCGTCATATCCATCTTTCTCATACTGTCCCTCCGACACATTTTCTTCACCCTCCTGCTCATTCCCATCTGGAATGTTCTGACTTGCATCTGCATTGCCAACATCAATTCTTGCACCTTCCATTCTAGACTGGAAAGTGGTATTAACTGAGTAAGAAAAAAATAAAACAAATTGTTAGAATATTCATACATGGAATTATGTAGAAAGAAATAGAATTTGTTTGCTTCAACAAATAATAATTAAAGGAGTTTTAGAACTTACCGCTTTCCAAATCCATGATCTCTTCATCTTCTTCCCTATCGTCATTATCTCCGGGCCCGACATCTTTATACTTTATCCAATCCTCCGCACAAATCAATGCCTCCAACATGATATCACTCAAAGAAGACCTGAATGGACTGAGAATCCGACCGCCACAGCTGAAGGTTGCCTCTGAGGCAACAGAAGAGATGGGAACAGCTAGGATATCCTTAGCCATCTCAGCAAGAATCGGATATGTTCCAGAGTGTCGAGACCACCAACTCAAGATGTCAAACTATGCATCATCACTCTCCCAATTGATGCCATCAGTTTGACATCTTAAATAGATGTCAAGCTCAGCAGAGCTACCTCCTGTATCCTGTAAAAGTGCTTCCCTTTTCCTCTTCCTAATCCTCTCCTCTAGCTGCTTAATCCTATCACCACCAGTCGTGCTCTCACCAGTGGTAGGCTCAGATGCAGAGTATGGTGCTTTTGGTCCATACTTCCCTTTGTAAACCTCAAATAGCTGTCGCATTTCCTTCCTAATGCAGTCAACCATTTCTCCTCCCTTCACATTCCCATACATCATTGCCAAAACCTCAAGACACCAAGTCAAGCTTACTTCTTGGATCAAGCACACATGCTACATAAATTAAGTGGTTCACCTTCATGTTCTTCTCGTTCACAATAGGTGATTCAAACCAATACTTTTCTACCTTTTCCTCAACCTTCTCAGCCATCTTTTGGATCTCTTCATGCGGATCCTTCTTCAATTTCTCAATGATGTCATATACCGTAACAAGCTTCTTGAAGAATATATGCATAGTCACATATTTAGTTCCTGTACAATTAGAATAAAACAAATTGAAATGGCGCAAATCGTTAAAATTTTTAAATAAAACAACGCAGTTCAGGAATTTCACTTACCAGAGACTAGAAGGGTCAAGTCATTGAAGACTTTCAGATAGTCTCTCAACTTCCTAACCATCTGCCAATCTTGATTAGTTGGAAGCCCACCTCTTGAGTCCAGATAATCTCTAAGAGAATGATCGTGTGGACTTGAATACAACGTTGTAAACACTGCCTCAAAACTTTCTGCCGACTCTAACATGGTATAGGTGGAGTTCCACCTGGTCGGTACATCCAAAGACACCAGCCTGGTTGACTCCATATGCAGAAATTCCATGCCATTCTTGAATCGTAACAACCTAGCTGGTGAAGACCTCACCCACTTCACACAATCCCGAACTCTGTCCACAGCACCACCAACTACTTTCAGTCCATCTTGTACCACCAGATTAATGATGTGTGCAACACATCGAAACTGTAGAAACCTCCCATCCATCAAATCACACCCCCACTCCTTTAGTTTCATTATCATGCACTCACTGACAACATCATTTGAACTTGCATTGTCCATGGTCATGCAGAACAGATTCTTCACCTTCCACTCTTCAAGAGCTTCTGCAAGCTTCTCTGCAATATCAACTCCAGTATGACTTGTGATGGGAACAAAGGATATCACCTTCTTCTGCAATTTCCAATCACTTCCAACAAAGTGAGCAGTAACACACATGAAATTCTTGTTGTTATCAGAAGTCCATGTATCCGTAGTGATTGAAACTCTTCCTTGACTCCTTGATTCAAAAAAATCAATTAAATCCATCTTTTTATCCATAAAGATATGAAAGCAGTCATCTCTTATAGCTTTCCTCCCGGGTATCCTAAACAGTGGCTGAACTTGGGACATGAATTGCTTAAACCCTTCTCTCTCCACAAAGCGAAATGACAATTCATCCATAATGATCATACTGGCTAATGCATATCTAGCTTTTCCCTGATTAAACTTCCATAAACCACTTACTTGACCACCTTCTGATGTCTGCAATACTTTCTGATTTTTATTTGCTTCCACCTTAGCCAAACAGGAGTGCATGTGGTTATTCATTGCAGTGGTCCCATTTTTGTGAGGATGAGCTTTGATTAGAGTATGACAGTGTATGCACTCTCCCATCGGGTAGCTGTTAACTATCAACTTCTTAAACACCTTCCAACAAGCAGCTTTACCCACCGCCTTCAACCATTTCTCGCAATAAAAAATGTCTCC